ATAAAATTATAATTTCCTGTCAGGTTCTTCTTACTGAAGATTACGATTTTGGAACCTGCTACTGCACAGGCAATTACTTTCAAAATATCACTACTTAATTGTCTAAACACTACCTGGGAAAAAGTGGTAGAGCACCTGTCTACAAACCAGGACTCAGTTTGCCGACTTCCCGGGATAAATGAAATTTCATTTGTTGACTTCCCGGGCGGACACCTCTAAGTATTTAATGGAGCACATGATTGTATGCTTTGCCTGTCATCGCACATTACATCAAGACCAGCAGGATCTGAAGATCGCTCTTCACCTTTGATTCCCAGTCTTCACTGTCATACTACCAACACTTCCCTGTCATGCTATTGTCACTGTCTTTATTGATTTAATTAAGGTGTTTATGTTATCTTGCTATTGAATTTGTCACTCTATTTTGTAGTTCCATAGTAATTTCTTTGCAAAATTTGTACTGCTTGGTAAACTTAGTTCAATTATACAATTGTAAATTGTATAATAATTCTTTTGTCTACTAGTTCCACACTGAATTTATTATGCACAGATCTCTTGTTAACTTATTGGGTCAACATGGAAATCGACATATAAGAATGGTATGATATTTGCGAAGTGAACTCTAAACAAAATTTCCCAAACAGAATTAATAAAATAGTGCAAATCTAGATATGTAGTCAACAGTTTTATGACTACTTCTTTGAGTGGCATTTTTAGAAGTTGTTGAGTCAGAGAATTTCATGTATGAACAACTTCTTTATTCAGGTGATGCAACGTTTTGATACAGATTCTCGTATCATTGTCAAGCAGGTATGATTCAGGTAGAAAACAGGGTTATATAAACAGTATATATGTAATTAACAAAAACAACAAGAAGATAATTTAGAAGTACAGTAACAATGTGATGACAAGGGATTACATCTGAAATCAATCATTAACTAAGCAACCTAGGCCAGAGGGGGTATCATTTTCACGGTCTACTCCCATTTGTGAGAGCTCCCAGTTGTGAGACTCCCAGTTATGAGACAGTGGAGTAGGTAATTAACAACGAAAACACACCATACTCCCCTGTCTGATGGAATGGATTCACCCTAGCTAATTACTGATTTGCTATGTAACTGAATCTTGTGGAGGTAACTTAATGAAACTTTATAAGATAAATTGATTAACATACTCAGGTAAATGTCTTTAATAATTAAACACTTTGTGTAGGTAACTTCGTGATCAAAGAGAAATTAATTTACCTAGTACTCAGATTTACTCCGTCTCCGAAACTACAAGCTATAGTTTAAGAAATAACTTTGAAATAACTCTGAAATTTACAGTCGAAATGCCCCTTATGCCAAACCCTTTCTACCCGACACAATAAATTTATGGAATGCCCTACCAAATACCAAAGAGTCATGCAGTCTCAAAGAATTTTAAAACCTAATTACAAAAACCGAAAACAAGATTTATATTGATCTTAATTATGGCTCTTGTTTTTATCAAATCGTTCATTGCTGCCTCAGGCTCGGATCTAGCGACCTAAACGCCGATATATTTATGCAATAGTCAATATCCATTTCATTTGATATTTTATGTTGCATGGGAGCGGTGTTAACATAAGCAGTAATACTTCACCAATCCCAATTCATTTTCATAAATAATAATAAAATATGTTTATAATATGTTCATAATAGTCAATAAAAATGTGTTATCATAATTACATATTCTTCTGAATAAATAAAATATTCAATGAACTATTTCTTCTGTGTAAATATAATCTTTGATAATCTATTTCATTAATCAACTTATCAATGAACTATGCCTCCTGTGGGTACTGGGCTGGGCTGATCCCACTTTCATTGTAGGGATGTGGAAACACCACCTAAGTGCACTGAACCATTAATTAATGTGTCTCACAACTGGGAGTTCTCACAAATGGGAGGACACCCATTTTCACAATGGCTCATGCACAGGTTCGGCAGAACAGTTCCTGATGATTGATAAGATACTGGGTTTCGCCACCAGAACCAATCTGGAGCATCTCTGCGCTGCGGAAATTATCAATGGGGATGGTACATTCTACGTCTCACCAAATCTCTTCCTTCAACTGTACTGTATTGTTATGTTTGGTGCAATGTTTGTCAGAGGCAGCACCGTTCAAAGGCTCCATCCCTTAAATCAACAAGACTTCACACCAGATCAGCAATGAGCTGATATAGACACCATGTTCTTGACTTTCCAAACTCTCAACAACCTACTGTAGGCCAATGGGCACAACCACTCATATCATGAAAGATATTGAATGGTCTTGAAGAAAGCCCATACCCTACCCCTACCCCCACCCCACCCCTTTTTGAGACTAAGTCCGAATCGTTTCCATAGAAACCGGGGAAATAAAAACGCCAAAAATCTGCAAATAGCAAAGGGCACTGCTTTGGGATCTGCCTCATATATCTGCCAACCTTTGCTGAAGGATATTGAAAGGTTTTCAAAATGTCCTCCAGAAACGAAGCCCACCCATCCCTTTGGAGACTAAGTCCAAATCATTTCCATGGAAACCGAGAAAAATACAAAAGCCAAAATCTGTAAATAGCAAAAGGCACCACTTTAGGTTCTGTTCGATATAGTTACAAACTTTTGTTGAAAGACATTGAACGTTTTTTGAGGGAGGGAACTGGGCAGGTTCACCAAACCTGAGAGCTGAGTCGCTGAAGGTCACAACCGCAGGAATCGTCGGTCAAGGGTCGGAGAATGCTCTATATACAGAAGACGGACTATAGTTGCTGAAGGATGGACTAGCCGACCGAATCGTAACTGCTGAAGATGGAAGAGCGGTGATCAAAGGGTTTTACCGATGTAGAAAGGATGCTGAATGACTTGTGAGTTCAGGGAAGATCGCTGATCCAGTGGAAGTTGTCGCTGAAGAAAGGATCGCCGATCCCAGGAGATTCGCTGGTTGTAAATCGTAGATTGCAGAGGTCGAGATCACTGATCTTCTGGAGATGTCTGCAGTAAACATAAATTCCTGGGTAGTAGATGAAGAGCGCCGATTCCTGGCTGATCTGGTGATCTATTCACTACCACCACTCTAGACGAGACCGCAGAGGATTGGCGAACTTCTTGCTGTATCTAATGTATGAATCTCGCTGAGGTAAGAGTCTGACAGGGTGTACAGAAAACCATAATTTTCGGATGCTGAACGAGAATTCCTGTGGGCATTCTTCTAGGTAGTTCTATCTGTCTTCAATTTCTTGGGTGCAGGAGGGCCCATATCGTCTGACTTCTTCCCATCCTATCCTATCTGCTAGCCGACCATGCTATAGGAAGTAAGTCGTCATCATTGAGCTTCTCACAAATTTTACATCTTGAGGTCCAGGTGCAAAGGCCTATGCAGTCATTGCATGATGGGTGAGGGTCCAATATCATGTCAGCACTCTAATTCAACAAGAAAGAGAATGTACTAGACAGGGGAGTCACATGCCCAACCGGAGAGTATGCTACATGCTTCTCAAGAGGCTGCCAGGCTGCCCAGGAACGGGGAGTGTTCAGGCGAAGGATTCAAGAGAGGCCAGAAACTTTGTTTTCAGTTCGTTTCCACTAAACAATCAATTAAAAGAGAGAGAGTACACTCTGGGAGATAGGATAACACAATGCCATTTTAGAAAGTAGTCAAATGTAACATATGATATATTTGGGATTACACTTTCTTAGTAAAGTACAGATTGTAGTACTTTTGGGGTTGAGTCCCATCCGGGGATTCGAACCCACACCCTCAGAGTCAGGCACCTAATCGCCAGCACACAAAGTCAGACGCCTAGACCGCTCAGCCACAAATACATGCACTCAGCCATGAATGATTTATAAATTGAGTATGATAAGTGGTGAAAAATACAGAATGTACAAAATTACATGAATCAATTCATGCAAGTGTAGCGGCCATAAAATTTCCGAGTCCCATGCTGGGATTCGAACCACGGACCTTCTAATCCAAAGTCGGACGCCTTGTCCACATGACCAAAGAGGTTAACCCCGTCAGCAAGCTGACAAGGTAAGGATGTCATCTGTGGGATGACTCCACGCCCTACTACATACTCCCCCGTCAACAGAAGGCACGTCCCGAGCCGCATAGTTGGGTACTGAGACTTGGGTACTGCTCAAATTTGATATGAACGTGCTCAGCCCCACGTTGGACGCCAATGTAGCGGCCATAAAATTTCCGAGTCCCGTGCTGGGATTCGAACCACGGACCTTCTAATCCGAAGTTGGACGCCTTGTCCACATGACCAAAGAGGTTAACCCTGTCAGCAAGGTAAAGATGTCATCTGTGGGATGACTCTACGCCCTGCTACACAAGGCTAACCTGCAAAGTATATGATGAGATTCAACCATCACAATACAAATGTTTTGATATTATGAGCCCAGGCAATGAATATTTCACTTGTTACATCATGACATCCGCCATTATCCAGTGTATATATCATGATAAATACCTTGGACCGGGGATAACATTTGGTCAGCTTCCAAACTGCTCCACCTTATGCTTCTCTTTCCATGTTCATTTCGAATCAAGCTAAGAAGATGATGGTGGTGAATTGGTCTAGGATATTTAACCCCAGCAAAATAACTTCTTTGAGTGGCATCTTAGAAGTTGTGACGTACCATACTAAAGAAACTTTATGGATAATAACTTCTTTCATTTTGTGAGCAAGACATTTCGATACAGATTCTTGGACCGTTGTCAAGCAGGAATGTAACAAAGAAGGAGGGGATGTATATATACTGAATGTAACAAAGAAAACAACATAATTAACATGATTGCTAGGCAGTAAGCTGATACAGCCAGTGAGTTGACAAAGGGAAAGGCATGGAAGTCCAAGATGTACATAGGCTGTTATCCATAAAGTTTCTTCAACATTGTACCCAATAAAATATTCAAAATACATTGGATGATAAATAATGATATAATAAATATTTCTTGGTAATATTAGATATTTGGAAAAATAAATACTTACAGAACAGGATAAATTCCAGGTTATATTTCAGGCCAGTGCTCAGAAATGTGCTGTCAAAACAAATGAATAATTAACATTCACCTCTTGCTTGACAATGTTTTCAAAGAAAACAAACTCTGGGTCTCACCTGGAACAAATACACAGCTTTTATCACACCTATATCCACATAGACTTTCGCCAAGTCTGGTCCTGGCACACATGTTCAAATATGTTCGGTTGTTTCTTCTTCAACAACAGTAGTAACCATCAATGTTGCCTCAAATATGCCTAAATATCATGAAAAATAGCAAGCCCACCCCTCCCTTTTGAGACTAAGTCTGGGCAAAAATAAAAATGCCAAAAATCTGTTAATAGCAAAAGGCACCACTTTGGGATCTGTCGCATTATATATCTGCCACGTTATGTTAAAAAATATTGAAAGGTTTTCAAGTTGTGCTCTGAAAACGAAGCCCACCCCTCCCTTTTAAGACTAAGTCCAAACCCATGGAAACCAAGAAAAATTAAAAATGACAAAAATCCGCAAATAGCAAAAATGCACTCCTCCTTTTAAGACTAAGTCTGAATCGTTTCCATGGAAACTGAGAAAAATAAAAAAGCAAAAAATCTGTAAATAGCAAAAGGTACCACCTTAGGTTCTGCTTAATATATCTATCTAATTTTTGTTGAAAAATATTGAACGAATTTTGAGTTATGCTCCGGATACAAAATTATTACGGATGGACAGACAGACAGACGAAGACGTCGACTATATCCCCCCCGCATTACATGCCAGGGGGATAATAATAATGAGAGTACTTATACCGCACAATACTCCACACCACAAAGGGGCATGCTCAAAGCGTGTACAAACAGCTCAACATTATTACCCCGGATAACCAAAGTTGCCTGCTAGGCACTAGAAAGTTATAGTTATAGATTTATCCCACCAGGTACCCATTTTCTGTTGGGTGAACAGAGGCAATTTTGAAAAAATTAAACTCACTTGCCTAAGGTAAGACCACATGTATTACATGTGTTTCATTGTGGGGCAGGATTGAAATCCAAGAAACTCTCAGGAGTCAAGCTGCCAAACACGGTCACCCATCCAAGGACTCTCCAAGCTCAACGTTGCTTAACTTCAACTGATTTGTGACCTGAACACTATGCACAGGACCACACACCACCATTACCAGCCAAGCTACAATTACATTATGTTGTTAAAGGACAACAAGCAGTTGATCTCTGGGATGGCAAATAGCCTGTATCTTGAAACTGAATTTGACCTTGCAATTCAGGAACATCCAAGAGGATTCCCCGGAGCTTTAACCAAATACAATGTCCTATGACATTACTGATCCATAACAAAGATGTACAGCTTTGAAACCAATATTCCCATGCCTGTAGCTACCTAATCTGTCGTACAGTCCCTGAACCAGCTTATTTTCCCTACTGCCGTGCCCTGCCTGCAATGCTAAAGCCCTACATGAAGCAAGTCTAGATTTCCCCTGAATCTCCCAAGTCACTGGAGCTCCTTTTCAATTTAAATGGGTCTATTTGTTACTATCAAAATTATATATTCAGAGACTAAGCGTTAGTTTAGTAGCTACCTTGACAACAAAGCTATAATTACTTCCAGCAATTAGTATTATATGCTCATATATTTCCAAAAGGTGTATACAACTTTTCATTTGATACAAGTAAATAAGACACCACATTACATAAGGCTTCTTCAACGGTGAAGATCAGGGTAAGAAATGATCTTTAGCAACCTATGCTTGTCGTAAGGGGCAAATAATGGGATTGGGTGGTTAGGCTTGCTGACTTGGTTGATGCATTTCAATGTGCTCTAATTGTGTACGCCAATGCCAATCACGGGGTTGTCTGGTCCAGACTCAGTTGTGTAAAGGACCGCATCATATAGCTGGAATAATGTTGAGTGCGGCGATAAACGATAAACAAAAGAGACTGACTGAGTTTAGGTTTACGCCGCTTTTAGCAATATTCCAGCAACATCACGGCAGGGGACACCAGAAATGGGTTTCACACACTTTACCCATGTGGGGATTCAAACCCGGTCTTCGGCGTGATGAGCCAACGCTTTAACCACTAGGCTACCCCACTGCCCCGTAAACAAACAAGAAAACAGGCAAATAAACATAAGGCTTTAAAATTGAAAAAGGGTATTTTAGGCCAATAAAAACAACATATTCGTTCTGATTACATAACTAACTTGCTTCTGAGCTATTTCTTTTCACTAAAAATTAATTTGCCTGATATTTGCTCCACTTTTCCTGATCACCATTTTCCCAATTAAAACTCATATAATCACACATATCATCTGTGTCAATGAACATTGCGATGTGTCCCTGGGAGAGGAGGGCGAGGAGGATTCAGTTACACTACATGCTTTTTCTATGTGCAGTGCACTGACTTAATGAACTTCTGAAATGAATTGACTAAAGGCTTAACTTGAAATCATCATGACAAAGGACTTTCTATCTTTGCACAGCAAAATAATGAGTACTGCTGAAAGCTGTTCATGAAAATCCCTACCTACCTACCAAGCTACCTGATTTAAAAATCAAAACCACAATATTGTTTTGTGTGTTCAGAATGAAAATGGCAAAGGTTCTATGAAATACTTTGACTAACACCTTATATAACATGGTATTCTATGTCTGATCATTGACTCAGCCCTAGGATGAAAAAACTCAAGTTTCAATATAGTACAGTAAATATTTTTCGAGTTAACAAGCTGTTTTCAGGACATGACATTGAATATTTGAGGATGACATTTAGACTGGGTATAAGAGATTTGTGTATCACCTCAAAAAGAATAAAGAGCAGCATAAAAGACACCTCTGGAAATGAGATATCCCTGATATGTTCAAGCACTGCTTTAAGAAACCCATAGATAGAGACAAATCACTGATGAGATCATCATACACATATATTCCAATTACATAATCATTTCATGCAAAAAGTTTCAATGAATAACTGCAAAGAAAGCTATTTAGTGAAGATGGCACACATGCTTTATGAATGACCTCAAATGTGATATTTTGCTTTGGCCACTCTTACCCTTTTGAAGTCACCTGATAAAATGCAGCAGTAGATGTCAAAATCAAAGAACACGTCAAAGCAACCCTTTTGTTCCCATGGTCATGGTTCATGAACTCTTGCGTGATCATAAATACAAAGGATTACAATTCATATTGAACAACAATAAGTTGTGTCACATACAGAATGAATGTCCAGCATTTGGTTTGGTTTGTTCTTTAACGACACACTCAACAATATTCCAGCAATATGGCGGCCATCTGTAAGTAATCTAGTCTGGACCAAACAAAGCAGTGATCAACAGCATGAGCATCAATCTACACAATTGGGATACGATGACATGAGTAAACTAAGTCAGTGAGCCTAACCATCCGATCTCGTTAGTCGCCTCTTACGACAAGCATCGGTTGCTGTAGACCAATTCTAACCCGGATCTTCACCCGGTCGAATCTCCAGTAACCCATGCTAGTCGTAAGAAACATCTAACAGGAACGAGTGTCCAGGAATGAGTGTCCAGGCTCTCTGACTTGTTGAATGCATGCCATCGTATCCCAACTGTGCAGATTGAGGCCTATGATATCAATTACTGGATAGTCTGGTCCAGACTTGATTACCTCAAGACCACCATCATATAGCTTGGAAATTGCTGTGTGTGACATTGAACAACAATATAGAATCTTTGTAAATGGTAACATACAGTACCAAATAATTAAGTTAACATACCTTTCTCCAAGTAGTGGGATGAGGAACTTCAAGGGAAGAACTGACTTGTTCACCATAGCTATCATGTAGTTCTTGAATCTCAGAATGCGATGATTAATATCTGAAAGCGTAATGACATCTTAAATCTTCATATTGGTAAAAATGGAAAACACAAAGTAAGGCTGAGAAATAAAAATCATTCTCAAACAATGGCTTTTAAAAAAAAAAAGGTCTCTGAGGTGACATAATCCTTATCAAATCCGCTGCAAATTATCCAGTCAAACTTAAAAAGTAATGAAAATGAAGGTTGTAGTTTAAGATGAAATTAAAAGTCAACAAAAGCGTGACCAGTCAACCTGCACCTTCCCTAGATGATGACTTCGTGTCAAATATGAAGAAAATACAGTGAATCATTTGTGAGACTTGTCTCACTGAAAAGGAAGACATGTATGTGAACAAACTGAAATATTCAAAGTGTCGCTGTGACCTTGAAAACTATGTGAAGGTCACCAAAATCAACTGGACCCTTCGCCTTCTTTAGATGAAGCTTGGGTTTCAAGTATGAAGAAAATCCAGTGAATGGTTCTTGAGATACCTCACTGACAATCTTAACATGCAGGTTAACGTGCTGAAATCTTCAAAGTGTCACTGTGACCTTGAAAATAATGTGAAGGTCACCAAAATCAACAGGACCCTGCGTCTTCCTCAGATGAAGCTTGGTGTCGAATATGTAGAAAATCCAGTGAAGGGTTCTTGAGATATCTCACAGACAAGGGTAAAACGTTTAAGTCCACTTGTGACCTTGAAATGAAAGTCAAGGTCACAAATCTAGGTACCAAATATGAAAAGAATCAAGTAAACGGTTCTTAAGATATTCCAATTCGTATGTACAGATGGACGAACAGACGGAGCCTAATACTATATCCCCCGTTGCACGTTTAATATAGTGCAGTTGGGTGTCCTTTTAGGGGGGTTGTTCAAACTATTATTTAACCAAATACATGGTTCTATTCTGTTACCTGTTGATTTCCAAGCTGAAACATTTTGTTGACCAGAATACTGCATGTAAAAGATCTTGTTGTGAAACCAAAAACAAACAAAGACATATGCATTTTATACAATGAACAAATGTATTCTGCAAAATGTAATTTTTAGACTAAAATTTATATTTTATACTTATCACTCACCCAGTGTTATCTCCCTTGTGACTCTTTTAGGCGGGAAACCACGTCACGTGTTTGGACATGCCCCTCACTCTCTCCTTCTTCGCCCTTGAGGACGGTTGTGAGAATCCAGAGTGCCATGAGGGGAGGTTGGGAGGGCTTACCTCATGAGTCAGGATAAGTATAAAATATCAATTTTAATCTAAAAATTACATATTTTTCCTTATCCTGACTCATGCTTAATTGCTTGTAGAATCCAACGGAACAGGTGGTGGGTCAAGCCACTCTGGATTCCATGCTGATTTACGTCCTGCATACCCCCCTGTGGGAACTTCTTAAAGTATATACTGATCCTTCCTTCCAGCTTCCTCTGACGAGTTTGGGGTGACCACAATATGTCAGATTTTCTGGAACCGCTTCTCCTGACAGTAAAAGTGGATTTATACAACTCCATGATTGATTTCCGCATCAATGGAGAAGTGACCCTTCTTCATATACGAGTAAGTCCTTACAAGTATAGGGTCTGTCACTCATGCTAGCCTACCTTTAGACGTGCGCACGGACTCTAAGCTTCAACTCTCTGAGCGGCGGCTTTTACAAGTCATGTGATAAAGGGTGAGATTCATCTCAGAGTCTTTGAGGAACTGTCAATTGTTGTGCTACAACAAGAGGCCCAAACTGGTGGATACCGGAGACATCCTCGGTAGCAATGTCTCTGAGGTAGTGGTTGGCAAACAACGTCTCCAACTTCCAATAGCAGCTCTCCATTATTGTCGAGCTTGAGCAATTTCCATGTGGAGCAAGTGTCGACGCCAGTGCTCTTACTTCATGAGGTGGAAACGCTTATGCGTTTATTCCTTCCCATGGGATGCTTAGAGCATCTGTTGCCCATGCTTGTGGATCCGGAATCGGAGAGACGAATGTTGGTATTTGTTTGTTGAACCTTGTAGCAAACAGGTCTATTAGTGGAGATCCTATCTTTTGTATGATGCATCTGAATGCTTCTGGGTGTAAAATCCATTCCGTCGGGGATGGTTGTGTTGGCCGAGATAGGGCGTCTGCTATCACATTCTTAGTAGTAGTAAGGCGTTTACGACTGCTTTCATCTCGAGCATGTTGATGTGTAGACTTTGCTCCTGACTCGACCATTTTCCTGCTGCCACTTCGTTGTCGAGGTGGGCTCCCCATCCTTGTAGTGATGCATCTACATAGAGATGACTGTTGTACTCCGGCTCTGATAAGTAGGTTCCTCCGCAAACATTCGACCTTCGTGTCCACCATAGGAGATATGGTTTCGATCCGTCCAGTAGTCCGAAGGAGTCCGAACTGTCTAGATGAACGTTCACAAACACTTGTAGTAGGCGCAGTTGTAGACTTCCTCTGCGTGTCACGTCTTGTGCTGACGTGAGGAGACCGAGTAGGCTCTGCCACTTTCATAGTGGTAATGGAGAGAGTAGTGCTTGAGATATCATCGGTTGTAACTTGATCCAACGCTCCTCGGGGACGACTATGCAATTCTGCGATGTGATGAATCGTATTCCTAGGAATTGCAGATCCTGTGTGGGTTGTAGTTCCGATTTGAGGAGATTAACTAGCCATCCTAGTTGTGTAAGTAGCCTGATCGTGAAGGCTAGTTGGAGTCTGAGTTGACTGGGATCTGGATGAGCTTGAATCCGTCGTCCAGGTAAAATGCACTGCGTAGACCTCGATGATGTAGATAGGCGATGATTGGCTTTGTCACTCAAGTAAACAACCAGGGGCCCGACGATATTCCAAATGGTAGCACCTTCCATTGGAAGTGACGTCCGTTGAAAAGGAATCGTAGATATTTCCTTGAGTCCAGATGTATCGGGATGTGAAGATACGCATCCTGTAGAGCTATGCTGGTGAGGTAGTCTAATGGACGTATGAGTTGTCGCATTGTTTCTAAGCTAGATACAGCATACACACAGTGAATCCCTGTAAGGAAGATTTTAACCTACCTGTTGTAACAATCTGATGGAATAGCCTTGGGCTTCTTGGGAGGGGAGCACCTGAGAGTGTCGACGCTTCTCCCGCGGACTGCGGCACTTGTGACGAACTGCCATCTCTATCTGATGTCTGCGTTGTGATGACTGCTGCTGTTGCCGTAGATGAAGACCTTGTCTTTTTCCTCACTGGCACATCAAGGATGAGGATGGGAGGCTCATCATAGACGTCTACTTCATCTGCTGGGATGATCTCAGTAGCAAACGACCTCGTCTGAAGTGCTGCCTCATGAGAAGACTTCGCCGGAGTCTTAGTAGACGACTTCTTCTTCCGGTAAGATGATGCCCTCATCTTCTTCGACTGCGATGATGTTATCGTTGAAGTAGATGACCTCTTCTTAGAGCCAGAGCCATCAGACACAGCGACCTGCTCCGTAGACGCAGCCGGTAAACTACTTGAATGGTGAATGTCAGTAGGCAACAACAAACGGTTATTAACACAATCATTTGGTTTAGACATGACTTGAGAAAGTCGTCTGCTCCTGTCCTTGGCACGCCTAAAAATGGAATATAAATAATTATTAAATTGAACTTCAGTTAAATGCTGACAAAACTGACAGCGAAAGCTGGAAGAACATGGAGAAATATAATTAGGACATATTAAATGTGGATCAGCAATGACAATCAGAGTTTACAACGACTGCAAGATTTCATAAAAAATCACCATGATGAAAACACATGTCAACAACGTCAACAAATACAGATAATTTTGATCAAATTTCAAACCATATTGTTGGTATATCAATCCTAAAACCTTATACAGCTAATTTAGTAGCAAGGCCTAAAAGTTTAAAGGATATAATGCTGTATAGGGGACCCAGACGCTCTCACAACCGTCCTCAAGGGCGAAGAAGGAGAGAGTGAGGGGCATGTCCAAACACGTGATGTGGTTTCCTGCCTAAAAGAGTCACAAGGGAGATAACACTGGGTGAGTGATTTTACGTCTGCTTTTTTTATGGGAGCTTCAAAAGGGGATTCAGGTGTTCCACTATCATTCGCAAGAAGAAAGAGACAAGCAATTAAGCACGAGTCAGGATAAGGAAAAATTTAACTACGTTTATAAATCTATATAAATTACAGCAAAGGAATTACAATATTAAGGCACAGATGACAACAATATAGTGATGATAATATCCAACTTGTTGCAGCAGTGGTCAAGCTTCCAAAATAGCCCTTGGCTGGGAATTCAGGGTGATTTACCCATTGTAAATTGAAATCAGAAAACTAAAACCTGGGATAACTTCTTTGAGTGGCATTTTAGAAGTTGGGAAGGACAATATAGAACAAACTTTATTGATAACAACTTCTTTTTATTTGTGAGTGCGACGTTTCGATACAGATTCTTGTACCATTGTCAAGCATAATGGAACATGAAGAAGGGGGAAGTATATATATACTGGATGTAACAATGTTACAAAGAAAACAACATAATTAACATAATTGGCTAGGCAGAAAGCTGATGAAGCCAGCGAGTAGACAAAGGACAGCCTGTAATGTACCCAGAGAAGGAGCGCGCTCCAAGCCTTACGCCACAGAATTGATAAACTTCAACAACCCCTCAACACCAGCCTCTCAACTGACTCCATCATCAGTCTCACCTCAGCCTGCATCAACTCCGCTTACTTCACCCGGGGGGACGAGATCTATGAACAAATTCATGGGCTCCCCCTTATCCCCCATCCTAACCGAAATTTACATGACAGACCTGGAAGATAAAGCACTAGATACTGCACCCTTCAAACCTACACGTTGGTATCGCAAAGTGGATGATACCTTCGTCATCCTCCAACCTCAGCAAGACCCCACTCAGCTTCTCACCCATCTCAACAACCAACATCCCGGCATCAAGTTTACCATGGAAACCGAGCAGAACCAGCAAGTACCTTTCCTTGACGTCCTTGTGTCCCGTACCTCCTGCAACCAACTCCAGA